CTAACTTCGTTGATTCAAATGGAGGTTATATTAATTCAAAGATGAACGTTGTCAGTACCACTACATCTAACTTAAACGACCAGATGTTCAACACTCCAACATATTTGCTTCCAACTTGTGAAAGAGATGTTACAAACATTCCAAACCGTTTGTGCGGACATAACGAAATAAGACCACCAGGATTGGTTAATGCCCCCAACGCTACGATTCCATATCAGAGAAATGGATCTAGTGGTGTTTACAGCAACAATAGCGCCTGGGCTGCTAACGGAGTCGCAGAAAGATACACACGGCCTACTGTGAACCCTATGAAAACTACCAGTGGTGCTGTTAAGAAACATAAACGTGTTCGAACAGCGTTTACGAGTCAACAGATGATGGAGCTTGAGCAAGAGTACGCTCGTAACAGATACCTTGATCGCACTCGTCGCATAGAGCTTGCGGATACACTACATCTTAATGAACGCACTATTAAGATTTGGTTCCAGAACAGAAGAATGAAGGAGAAGAAAGACAGAGCGGAGAACTATGATGATTCAGAAGAACCAAGCACGACTGATTCCTCTCCGGACATGGTCAATAAAACCATGCCAATTCTTACCCAAAATCAATATGCGTTTCAAATATCCAATGGCGTTTTCAATCATGAAAGTTGTTACGTGGGGCCTTATCCAGTAGCCTCTTCTCCTATGATGATGTCGCAAATGAACATGACGCAGGAAATGAGAAGTTCAGTATTGAACAGTTATCCTACGTTTGTCTTAGACAACAACATGCAACTGCAAGAGAAATTCGAACCAACGCCGCAATCACAGTTAAAAATGGAGGATTTAGAACCGATTTGTAAAACAAACGTACCAGAATCACAGCAAGCCTCACCGATGTATTCCGATATCTCTGCTATCGATTCTGCCAAAAGTGAAGTCAATGACCAAAGTTGGGATCTATCTTGGATCCGAAACATTCATTTTGAGGATGAGGCTTAACTTATATTCAAATCAACGTTAGTTAGGTAGAGTATATTAATGCTTTATACTTTATAATTTATTTATACATAATATCCCATGTGGGTTGAAATAAATGCCATCTTAAAGTTTAGACTGTTTGTTTATTAATCCTATTGTAATTCTAAAAGCCTCTATGTGTTAACTGATGAATTATAAATCAGGTATTAACCTGATATATGACTTGGTTATGGCAGATTGCAGCGCTGATGCTGTAAGTTACCCAGCAGCGTTACGCTGAGTCATAACCTTTTCACTGGCTCGATACACACCCCATAATTTGAAGTCTTAATCTGTCATAAATTATTATAGTTTCAGTGAATAAATGTCTTTCTTTATTTCTTTCATATACTTCAATTTGATGTAAACCAAATCTTAATAACATACACATATGAGGTGTACCCTGCAGATTGACGTATGAAGCTTTAGCAACCCACCGATGGCAGAAAATCCATCTTGGAAATCTCAACAAATTTACCAGCCTTATACTTGCAAATATTCTAATGATAAATATCCTTGCCTGTGATTTAGGCGATGATAATGCAATAAGATTGCAAGAACAGCAGAGCTGCACATCCGCAGTGTCTCCAGTAGTTGCAACCCTAAATAGCTTCTATTGTAACTTTGACGCACTTAAAACAACCTAAAAACGAACTATTAGTTTTCCCGTCAACGTGTTTCCTTGAACATCCACACAACAGGATAATTCATAAAAAAATATTTTATTTTGTTGTCAAAAACTACAGGGTTTGGCAATCCACATTCACAGGTTTTACGTCAACCCCATTTTAATTTCCCAATACAATTAAACAGTATTACCATAGTGAGGATATAGACTGCACTCACTAATCCATCTGCGCAGTGTATTAAGAATAGGACTTTCAAATTAGTTTTTAGCTTAAGCCCTGTCTTTTGCTTGGTTATTTATGTCAACCTTTAAATTAATTTTAAAAGTGAACGAAGTTACTTTTATGATTTCTGCCTCAGTGCAAGTGCTAACTGCAGACTTAGCCAAATAAAAAGAAAAGATTTTTTTTTTAAATAGGAAAACTAAAAATGTAATAATAAAAATCATTAACAATATGGTGTCTCATTTATTTTTACTTCCCTATAATTATGCATTAAGGATTATAGAACTTCGATTTGTTGATCGAAGTTATAGAAAGTCAACTTCGCTAAATCCATCGAAGAACTGTTAAATATTACGCCTAGAACTTCAAAATAATACATTCTGTAAATATTAATACTATTTATTGTGTTTGTAATAACAAGTACAAACGACTTAAATGTTTTTTTTTCAGGAGTCTGTATGGGTAGGTACAAATTTCTACCGCCAAGCATCAGTGTATGAACTGTTGTGCTCCGGTATGGAGGGAATACGAGTAGAGAGCCAGTATAAATACATGTAGTGTGGCATTCGATCTTAGTCCTCAGAGGTGACAACGCATCTGTTTACGTCATCATCTAGATGAAGTGACTATCTGATTTTATTAATTTAAAATAAAAGAAAGTATAAAGATAGCATCTTTATAATACTAGAGCAAACAACGAGCTACATATACTTACTTCTTCTCTGCCAAGGAGTCCGACTGAGTAGGTATAATTATTCTATTTCACGATGAAGGTTTGTCTTTGGTTGTTGTAGGCCGTGCACATACACATTGTGTTAATGTGCGTAGGCCTCGGGAGTGCTCAATCACGATAGCGAGTCGAACGAATCGCAGTTACACACACAAACGCGCCTGTCGATACACGTCACTACTACAATCAAGGTGAAACCTTCATCGTGAAATGGAATAACTATACCTATTTATGCCACCAAGCAGTCAGCGTTCTGATGTGTTCCGGTTTGAAGGGTTGAAAAACATAGTAATATATAATTATTATGGATTTTGATATCCTTCAAACCGTATATATACAACACATCTGTAGCCTTATTTGTTCATTCATTTTAATATAGGTTCTCTAATATATATGTATATAATAATTTAGGATATACATAGGTTTTAAGTAGAGATGGGCCGACTATGGTGTGCGGGACAAGAGAAAAACAAATAGTGATACATAAATAAGACAAAAACATTTATATTAATGGAATAAATATTATAGTTAGTTTGTACTTAGATAGGATAAACATTTATATTAATAGAGTTTATAGTTTAGATAGGATATAAGCATTTTATGTTAAGAAAATAATAGTGTAGAGCTTATATTTGTGTAATAAAATTAGTTGGTCACTTTGTATAACAGAACTAGCTTAAGGTAAACAATGTAAACAATGACTCAGTAAGATATAGAACTAGCTTAAGACAAACAATGTAACGGGACTCAGCATCGTCACTTGCTCTGTCACGCCTCGCGCTGATTGGTCGACGCCATTTGTACGATGCGTCGGCCGTATCCATTGACCCAGCCCGAGGCGGTATAAAAGAGGGGCGATTTTCGTCGTTCGACACAGTCGGCGGCCAGCTACCTCAAGGAAAACACCAAATATAGAAGAAAGAAAAATATCGCAGCGGTTTTATTCTCCACCAATCCAGCACACAAATGTGCCTGTAGGGCACATTTAATGGTCCTTCGAGCCGGATCTTGTGGGGAATAATTACCTGAAGAAAAATAATTAAGAAGACTCCTCGGAAATCGTTTTTCAAGACTCAAGATTATTCGAAGAAAAAGTCAGCTGACAGCATGGCCGTTACGCGCTCTGAGGGAAGGGGCAGCAAGCCGTCGTCGTCCAAGGCTACCACCTCGGCGACCGGTACCACCAGTGCGGAAGCCAGTACGGAATCAACAGCTACAGGGACGACCGCCACGGAGACTTCGGAGTATACAGACACCTCCGCGGCGACTGATCCATCCACCGTGACTTCCGCCACCGCAGCGACCACTTCGTCCGCCGCCACCTCAGCCTCAGCCTCAGCCGCAACCGCCGCCCCCGCCACGCACCCCGCCAGCGCCGTCGCTCCTTCCGTAACACCATCCGCGGCGACGACACTAACTGCGGGTGCGAAGGCCAAACAGCTGATGAAGCCGCCCGCTACTGTCACCAGAGCAACTCACCAAGAAACAGAAACTTCTACAGTGAAGCGAGCCATAAGAAGCACCGCCGGTCCATCAAAGCAAACCGGGCTACAGGAACCCCGCCCGCCCAGCAAGAAGGGAGGTGGAGGGGGATCTACACGCAGTAGAACGAAGCAGCTCAAGCTTGCAAAGGCGAAAGAAGATTTACTACGCCTTCAAGTGGAATTAGCCGCAGCACGCCTTGCTGCCTTAGAAAGGGAAGACTCAGAAGAGGAGGAGGAAGAAGAAGATGACGCATCCCTCTACTCAAGATCAGAAGTCAATACAAGAGTGGACGACTGGTTGGAGAATCAAGTGAATCGCCCGGTGTTAGCAATCACCAACGAACCTCACCATGCCATAGAAGAACCAACAGCCGCCCACGCAGAAGAACCAAGGCACGAAGAAACACATCAGTCACCGGCGGGAGGTCAAACTGACGTAGCCCTCCTGGCTGAAGCCATCACTCGGGCTGTCAGCGCCGCCCAACGACCTAAGTTCGTCGAGTTAACATTCTTCAGTGGGTCTCATCAGGAATGGCTACCCTTTCGCGCCGCCTACTACGAGACAGAAGCGACATTCAGCGTAGTTGAAAATACGAATCTACTCAGAAGAAACTTGAAAGGGAAGGCCAAGGAAGCAGTTGAAGGCCTACTTATGACCAACGCACACCCGGCTGAAGTAATGAAGACTTTGGAGTCAAGATTTGGAAGACCAGAGTCAATAGCCATGCTGGAGATGGAGACGCTTAGAGGTCTGCCGCGCCTTACTGAGTCACCAAGAGACATATGCATATTCGCCACCAAGATCTCCAACGTAGTGGCGACACTGAAGACTTTGGGTTGTTTTAACTACATGTACAATCCTGAACTCGCGAAGACAATAGTAGACAAACTGACGCCAACTCTGCGTTATAGGTACTACGACTTCTCAGCCATGCAGCCACGTGAAGACCCTTGCCTCATCAAGATAGAGAAGTTCTTCAAAAGGGAAGCAGAACTGTGTGGACCCTACGCGCTGCCCGAACAGATGACACCGCCTATTACAGCCGCACCACAAAGGAAGACTCAAAGGATCAACAACGTGACTGAGAAGACATACATACCAAGATGCGTCGTATGTGAAGATACGGGGCACACCAACGCCACAGAATGTGAACAATTCAAGAAGTTAGATGCAAATGCAAGATGGGACATGGCCAAGTCCAAGCGCCTCTGCTTCAGGTGTCTTCGCTATAGGAACAAGACACACCACTGCCGACCCAAGCCATGTAATGTCAACAGCTGCAAGTACTCTCACCACAAGATGCTGCATTACGAAAAGAAGTCAGAAGATTCAGAAGCAAAAGAAAATCAAGGGGCAACAGAGGTCATCAACTCAACCTGGACCGTCAAGAAGCAATCATATTTAAAAATCCTACCGATCCAGGTCAAAGGACCAAAAGGAGCTGTCAACACCTTCGCGTTGATGGACGACGGCTCAACAGTCACGCTCGTCGACGATAGTATAGTAACAAGCGTCGGAGCAACGGGCCCCATAGACCCACTGAAGATAGAAACCATCAACGACAAGAAAGTATCGGAGTCAGCATCGAGGAGAGTCACCATCAAACTAAAGGGGCTCAACGATCATGAAGAACAAATACAAGCACGCACAGTGAAGAACCTGCAAGTCTCATCTCAACGGGTCCCACAGGATCTAGTGGAGGAGTGTCAACACCTCTCTTATATCCAAGGACATCTCACATATGCAAACGCCAAGCCACGAGTGCTGATCGGACAAGATAACTGGCATCTTCTGCTGACATCGGAAGTAAGAAAAGGAGACAAGAACCACCCAGTGGCATCTCTCACGCCACTAGGTTGGGTACTCCACGGCAGCCAGACACGAAGCTTCGGACGGAACATCGATTTCGTGTCACACATCGTAGAAGATCCAGAGGAGAATCTAGAAGACCTCGTGAAGCGATACTTCGAGATGGACGCACTTTGTATAAAGCCCAAGAGACCGAAGACTGATCCAGAAGAACAAGCACTTCGTATCTTGGAAAGGACCACAACGAAGACAGAAGAAGGAAGATTCCAGACCGGTCTTCTCTGGCGCAAAGACGATGTCAAGTTACCAGACAATTACGAAAACTCGCTGAAGAGGCTCTTCAACATAGAAAAGAAGATCGATCGTGACCCCACGTTAAAGAAGAAATACGTGGAACAAATGAACGCTCTCGTCGCAAAGGGGTACGCCGAACCCGCCCCAAAACAGAAGACAGCTGACAAAACTTGGTACCTACCTCACTTTGCAGTAGTCAACCCAATGAAACCGGAGAAATTACGGGTGGTACACGAAGCCGCAGCCAAGACCAAAGGGGTGGCACTTAATGACATGCTACTCAAAGGGCCCGACCTACTACAATCGCTACCAGGTGTCGTCATGCGCTTCCGACAACACATGATCGCGGTTACGGCGGACATCAAAGAGATGTTCATGCAAGTCAAGTTGCGAGAACAAGACAGGGACGCACTGCGGTACCTATGGCGTGGGATTCGACGAGACAACCAACCTCCGGAAGAGTACAGAATGACATCATTAATTTTCGGAGCATCGAGTTCGCCTTCGACAGCAATATACGTCAAGAACCTAAACGCCAAACAGCACGGGGAAACTCACCCAGAAGCCGCAGCGGCCATCATAATGAAGCATTACGTCGACGACTACTTGGACAGCTTCAGAACCCTCGAAGATGCCAAACGCATCACGAAGAGTGTACGAGCCGTGCACATGAAAGCCAGCTTCGAGTTGAAACAGTGGAAATCAAACTCAGCATCACTCCTAGAAACACTTGGAGAAGACAGCCAGACAGAAGACATGGAACTCTACAAAACAGAAGAAAAGATGGAACGAGTTCTGGGTGTTGTTTGGAAGATCCACTCGGACGAACTCACCTTCAACCTCAACTTAGCCAGAATACCCTCAACACTCCTAGAAGGGAAGCAGCCGACGAAAAAGGAAGGACTGAGAATAGTGATGTCGCTCTTCGACCCGCTCGGATTCGCCTCGCCTATCACCATCAGGGCAAAACAACTCCTCCAGGAAGTCTGGCGTAGAGGAACAGCATGGGACGACAAGATCGACGAAGACCTGGCAGAGCAGTGGAAAATGTGGATGGAGCATCTGGAAGGCCTCCACGAAATAGCAATCCCGCGACAATATCTTCACTACAGTGACGCGGCCTCCCTAGAACTCCACGTCTTCAGCGATGCCAGCGAGTCAGCTTATTCTGCGGTCCTCCTTTGGAGAGCTGTAACAGCAGTAGGCGAGGTCCACCTATCCCTTATTGTGGCGAAAGGAAAGGTGGCACCGTTAAAACTGACGTCCATCCCAAGATTGGAGCTACAGGCAGCAGTCATGGGCACCAGGCTCGCAGAAACAGTAGTCGAAGAACACGAGAGGAAACCTGACCGCAAAGTATTCTGGACAGACAGCAAGACAGTACTAACCTGGATAAGGACAGGGTCACGTTCATATAAGCCCTACGTGGCTCACCGTCTAGCAGCAATAGAAGAGAGTTCCAAAGTTAACGACTGGCGCTGGGTTCCGACAAAGCTGAACGTGGCGGACGACGCCACACGAGACGTACCAGCAGCATTTAATAAAGAACATCGATGGTTCAAAGGGCCTGACTTCTTATACCTAACAGAAGACTTCTGGCCGACAGAAACCACAAGAGCAACAGCGGAAGAACCTTCCGACGAAGAAAGGACACATTACGTGAGCAACAAAAGAAGATTGAGGCTTGCCGAAGGTCTACCTGATCCAGCGAAGTTCTCCAACTGGGACCGACTCCGATACTCAACCGCACGTGTTCTACAGTTCATTCAACTCTGCAGAAACACCAAACAGAGAGTCAACTACAAACGAACAAAGAAGAATAAAGAGGCTGATCCCACTTGGAAAAAGAACAAAGCTACAGTGAAATATCAGGCGCACATGACGACAAAGAAGCGGTCGCCAGAAGACATAAAGCCGCTAATGGTCTCAGCCGAGCTGCTTAAGACAGCTGAAGAGCTTCTGATGCGATCCTCCCAAGAAGAATCCTTTGCGGAAGAAATAGACAGCATAAACAGCGGGAAGCCGATCAATAAGGAGAGCCGCCTTCGCCAGCTCAGCGTCGAGTCAATAAACGGCACACTACGACTTAGAAGTCGTATTCGAGCAGTCTGCGACATGGAGGATAAATTCAAGAACCCGTTGATAATTGACGGTGATCATCACACAGTCAAGCTCTGGGTGCAGGCTATACATCGGCAACTCCATCACGCCGGTGTAGAAGCCACAGTTAGCGAGTGCCGGCAGCAGTATTGGGTACTGAGACTGCACCCTATCGTACGCACAATACTACGAAAATGCCTATTCTGCAGAATGAAGACGCAAGTACCGCCGCATCCGAGAACCGGGGACCTGCCAACGTGTCGCTTAGCTCACCACAAGCGCCCCTTCACCTACACCGGGGTGGACTATTTCGGACCTCTTTCGGTGACCGTCGGACGAACTCGACAAAAGAGATATGTGGCCATTTTTACATGTCTCACTACGCGAGCCATACATCTAGAAGTTGCCGGCTCACTTAGCGCTGACTCCGCGGTAATGGCCATAAGGCGGATGATCGCACGGCGAGGCTGCCCGACAGAAATATGGTCAGACAACGGCACCAACCTGAAGGCAGCCGATAAGGAACTACGACAGGCGGTCGACGCAGCGACCGCAGAAGAAGCAGCAAAAAGGACTATCTCCTGGCGCTACATCCCGCCTGGAGCTCCATTTATGGGCGGAGCCTGGGAGCGAATGGTTCGCTCCGTCAAGACCGCTCTTATCGCGACGTTGCACGAACGTCATCCAACGGAGGAAGTCCTCACGACACTACTGGTAGAAGTGGAATACACCGTCAACAGCCGACCGCTGACTCACGTCTCAGTCAGTCCAGAGGATCCCGAAGCTCTCACTCCTAACCACTTCTTGTTGGGAGGACCGGGACGAGTACCACAGCTAGGCACTTTCACCAAACGAGACGCCCTCTCACGGTCAAGTTGGCGAGCTGCGCAGAGGCTAGCCGACACCTTCTGGTTACGCTGGGTGAAGGAGTACCTCCCTGAGCTTCAACACCGGCGGGAGCCCCACGGACAAGGCCAAGCAGCACGCGTCGACGACCTCGTACAGATCGTCGATCCCAACCTGCCTCGCAACGTGTGGATACGAGGAAGAGTCATCGCTACATATCCGGGTCCCGACAACGTCGTGCGGACTGTGGACGTGCTAACTAAGGGAGGTGTCCTACGCCGGCCAGTAAGGAAGCTTGTGATCCTGCCTCTATCTACGGACGTCGAGCCCGCACCGGAAGCTGATGCGACGCGGTCGCACGGCGGGAGTGATGTGCGGGACAAGAGAAAAACAAATAGTGATACATAAATAAGACAAAAACATTTATATTAATGGAATAAATATTATAGTTAGTTTGTACTTAGATAGGATAAACATTTATATTAATAGAGGTTATAGTTTAGATAGGATATAAGCATTTTATGTTAAGAAAATAATAGTGTAGAGCTTATATTTGTGTAATAAAATTAGTTGGTCACTTTGTATAACAGAACTAGCTTAAGGTAAACAATGTAAACAATGACTCAGTAAGATATAGAACTAGCTTAAGACAAACAATGTAACGGGACTCAGCATCGTCACTTGCTCTGTCACGCCTCGCGCTGATTGGTCGACGCCATTTGTACGATGCGTCGGCCGTATCCATTGACCCAGCCCGAGGCGGTATAAAAGAGGGGCGATTTTCGTCGTTCGACACGTATTCCCAAGCCAGGCAAGCCTCTTAATCTCCCCTCCAGTCATCGTCCCATTAGCCTCCTCAAGGCCATGGGCAAGCTCTTTGAAAGAGTCATTCAAAATCGCATGAGGCGCCATCTGTTTCCCACAGACGGTGACCCTCTTATCATTCCCCATCAATTCGGTTTCCGAGCGAAACACTCCTGCCCCCAACAAGTTCACCGTATTGTGGAATATATCCTCAGCGGTTTTTATCCCCGTCGTTATAAGACTATCGCGGTCTTTTT